AAAGGCCTAAAAAACAATCAAAATGTATCGCGCACTGATCTGACTTCAGTAGACAGATCCTGCTTCTAGGAATCACATTATCCTGCACTGCATTACTCAATACCCTTGTAGGGCTCAGTTGCTGTTCTACCAGCCTTAAAAGCAACCGATCGGAAACAATCTTTCAGCACTTTATCATAGTTAGTGTGAACTGCATTTGGTTGCTGTGGGTAGGTATATCTAAACAAATAAAAATCAGTCTTCCTGGAGTGCTGATTCAGACAAGTGGTGTGTGGCATGCCCATGATATTTCAAGCTGTGCCGATTCGTGTGGGTGGAAAGAGCCGTCATTTACACTTGGTGTAGGTGGTTATAGTAAAAGACAAAGGTGTATACACCGACCCATTCCAATGTATTGTCTGTTACTCCACTGTCTTCCAGAACGTAAAATAGAGCCTGTTACTCCTGTGGGAATGCATGTCACAATGCAGAGGGGTGAACTGTTGCTGTGCTAGGCCTTCCTTGACATGGGCACCATACTTCCACACAGAAGACAACTACAATGGTTGTTTGATGACTGCAAATACATTAACAATCGTAGCTTGGTATCTCTGTGCCATGAAAGTCGCCAGTGGCCCAGTTATCAGGTTTTGTTCTATTATCTGATAATGGGGTCACATATGGTGCCTTTTCTGCACTTTAAACAAATTAGGACACGAGCCCTCATTTATGAAAGGATCATTCCATCCAAAACGGATATTTCAATTTATGGGAGATGCTGGAGACTGCCTACATATCTCTTGGGCACCCCAGGATCAACATTTTTACACTTGAGCACTCCAAAAGACAGGACTATCTCCAAACACAAAACCTGCAGTTCCATTGTGCAGACTCTCAGTGATGCACAGCACAAGCTGTGCATGTCTTGTTACAGCAAACATCCCATAGGATTCTATTTATTGTATCAACAATAACACCAAAACTTAATAAAATATATTTAAAACTATCAAGAATGCAAGATACGGTCAAGATTTGGTTTTATTTGTGTTGACTATTAGAATGCCGAGTGCTTCTTTGTGATCGGCAGCTATTATGAGAGGGTCTCCTGCTCCCTGTTGGATATGTATCTATTTTATATTACAGAGAATGCAACAGGAGATAGGAAATGGCTCAAGGTAGGGCTGGAACTATGGCAGAGTAATCCTGCCACTGTACTCCACAATACATGTAGAAAGTCAGTGACCAATGTCTGAAATATCACTTTTGGGTGGAATAAATCTCATGGGAAACTGTCTTAGTTTGCGTTGCCTGTGTCATCCAGTCAAACTCTCCATGTCAGTCCCAGTATGAAGAGAATGAATGAAAGGATATTCTTAGTATTTGCTGTGGGCAATGCAAACCGTAAACAGTTCTTTTTTCAGCACTTTGATAAATGAGGCTCTCTGTACAGAAGTATTAACAGCACAGGGCTGCAGTACAGTCCGTACAGGATACAACCCGATAACAGTCTTTTGCATATGCATAAATAGGGACAGTCTCTACCTGCATAGCTGTACACAGTGCTTACTATGCTGCTAAACTCCCGCTAATACCGCTCTACAAAAATATAGAATAGTGCATCAATATTCGTACTCTGTCACTCATACTCATACGTAGAATCATTTTTGTATACTATTGACTTAATGGCAGCATACCAATATATTATGGTGACAAAAGGTCTTTATTACACCAAAATACTGACCTAAATAAATGGCGTTCCTGTACTGACAAGAGTATGATAACACGTATTATATGGACTGGCACAATTGGCAGTTTTTTTAAACAAACTTGTTGGAAGTTGTTGCTGCTTTCACTTAATTTGCGGCTTCCAGGACACCGATAGACTGCATTTCATATATGCTTGTTCAATCATGAGAGGGCCGATTCAACCACATTCTGGAAACAGGAAGGCCATGGGCTTGATCTTTGTAGTATTTTGAAGGCAACATCTTCTATGTAAGCGTGCACTTAGGGGTCAATTTATAGATGTCTCCATACAAGATTCACACAATTTTCATCCAGGATTTACTAATTTTTTCTATTAAAAAGGGGGCGAAACTTGGGTTGAGTGAATCTTATGTGAGAACACTAAAATAAACCCCTCAGTGTTAAAGTATAAGTCTAGCCAAAACTTTTTTTTTTTTTTTTAAAGTTTGGAAAGAGCAGGAAAAGTGGCAAATTACAAGTACCCGTAAATCGTCTGTGAGATCTCTCAGATGGATGCTTGTCCTCTAGCTCATGGAAGTAACGTGTAAGGCCCCATGGACACAGGCTCCTGCATTAAACACAGGAAAAGTTATGTGAGAAGTATAAAAAAAATGTATGCTTCCCAGATAATTTTTCCTGTTCTTAGATGTTTCTGGCTTTAGTTACGTTTACATGTGTTTAGCAGTGTGCAATGCGGCTAAATGGTCCCAGGACATGGAAAACTCATGTTAGTGTAGACACAGCTAGACTGAATAGGCGGGGAGAGATAGAATGGGTTCTATTCCGTTAGATCATTTCCAATCCTCCTGGAATCCCATTTAAAGGGACTGTAAACTCGGGAGCTAAATCTTAAAAATGCATTCATGTACCTTAACTAATAACAAGAATGTATCTTATTTGTGTGTCACTCAGCTATAGATCCTGAAATCATCTCTGAATGGTGCTGACACTGTCCTTCCTTCTGGAGGGTAGCTACTTTTGTTCCCCATGGTCCCTGTGTGTGTTGTAAAGTAGCCGCCACTCCAACCTCACTTCTGTGATGGACTACAATATCAATACAAATTAGTAAACTAAATGTGAGAATGTAGTCTATCACAGGAGTGAGCTTGGAGCGGTGACTACTTTACAACACACACAGGGACCGTGGGGAGCAAAGGTAGCCACCCACCCACCAGAAGGAAAGACAGTGTCAGTATGAATTCAGAGGTGATTGGAGGATCTACAGTTGAGTGATACACAAATAAGATACATTGTTGTTAATAGTTAAGGTTCTTGAATGTATATTTAAGATTTAGCTCCTGAGTTTAGTGTCCCTTTAAATTATAACTTACCAAAGTATTGGACTGAAATCATAGATTGTTTACTATAGTAGAGCTCTTAATTACATTTATAAATACATATCTTAGAATAAAAACTACAGGCTTTAAATTTGTTATTAACATATGTGAAAGTGTGATCAGATGAACATAAATAATAGGATTTCATAGTTTTAAAAAATATATTTATGTGTATAGTCTTTAAACACTTGGGGACAGCCATTTTTGCTCATTTCATATGGAGGTTTTGGGTGAGATGTGACCTGAGTGAAAAAAACAAACTGCAAGTGTGAATCAAGAGTTTGTGTATTATGGAACATGGGCAGCAATATTTAAAGGAGAACTATGAGGTGAGTGCTTTTCACTCACCTCATAGTTCTAGCCGACCTGTGACAATGAGACTGTCACAGGTCGGCTCAGTAGATCGGGAGGTGAGCGAACACATACCGGGTTCGCTCGCCTCTCGATCCTGTCACAGCTCTCTGCCGTGACAGGGGGAGGGGCTGGATTCCCCTCTCCCCGCTCTGATCTGCCAGCGCTGACTGGCGGAATAGATAGGCAGAGCCAGCTGTCACTCACGCAGCTGGGGGGATCCCGTCATCTACGTCGGGATCCGCTCCGGCGTCTCAGTATACCGCGAGCTGTAGCTCGCGGTATACTGAGCTTAGGGTAACGGGAGGACGCTAGCTTGTGTCCTCCCGTTACCCTAAGGAGAACTATGGGGAAAAACACTGACCCCATAGTTCTCCTTTAATGTGCTTTCTTCTCAGAAAACCACATTGGCCTGCACTGACCCTACATATAAATGTGTATTTACTGAAAAAACATCAGCATTTTCCTCTAAGACATCTAAGCAAAAGGATCCTGCTAGAGGCCAAAATGGTTCACCATGGCAATTTTTGTAATGTAAGCCAAAACTGTGAGGACACCTTTAGATGCATTTGTAGATGTGATCTTTAGCTCTCATATACAACTGTGTATGCTTTGCAATCCAAGAAATGTCTGACCTATTCAGTATGACTATGTGAATTATTAATTATGTTTAACTTTCTTGAACAGTTTTTGTTGCCCAAAGCAACCGGTTTTTCCCTTTCATTCCCTCATAATGCACCCAAAACATGAAAGAAGGAAGAACCTTGTGCCTGATCTTCCTTGTGATGCTTCCCTGACATTGAACAGTAGGACTGATTAATCAGAACTGGAGAGAAGAAACTGCTGGTGCCCACAGAGACCAGGCATTGGATTTCACTTTCCAAGTTGTACTGGAAAATAGGCTTGGTAGCTCTGGGCAGCTACACACTCATCACCAGTATATTCCCTGTGAGCAGATTGCCCTATGAACGGAATGTAAATAAACAGCACTTTTTTAACCCACGGTAGTTAAACACCACTTGCATAGCTGTTCTACTGAGCCCTGCCTGGTAACCCTTCAAGTGCTGGAAAGGAAAGTGGGTTGGGGCAGTAACACAGATTTTATAGTATGAGGGGTTTAACAGACGTGACCGTGTCCAGCAAAAGGCATCATTTTTTTTTTTTTTACCAAGTGTACCAATCACCCATACACAATCAAGGCAGCCACTTTGTGCAAACAGGCCTGTATGTCAGAGTATGCAGCTTGTTGACTTGCTATGTAAAGATTGCATAACTCTTTGAGCATAGTTACTGGTTTGTAGTAAATAGGCTACAAAAATGTTTGGCCTCATACAAAATGGCTGAACCTTTCTGCATATGAGCAACAGGACAAGTCCACTTTGAATCCTTGTTATGGTAATCCAAAGGCCTACTTGCAAGTGCAAGCTTACAAGATTTAGTCACATAAGCACTGGTGGTTTTAATAACCATATAATAAGGTTTCCACTCAGCATGATACAATAGTATTTGAATATACACTATATATATATTTATCTATACACACAATACAGAGGCAACTTAGGTTGCAAGCTAGCTGTTAACGTGCAGGCATAATGTTGCAGATACATTTGCACCATTAAGAAGCAAATATCGTAATAAGATGGCATTTACATAGATCTTTAAAAACCAAGCAATGTTCTTATTGCCTATGTGAGGAAATCCTGCAAACCTTGCCGTTGTCTTTGGATTTGATTAGCTAACAGGATTCTAGGCCTCCCTCATGACTACAGCGTTTTCTCAACCATCCCTGATGCTGAACTCTAGTCTAACCTGAGTGAGGGGGTACTTTGTGGATAAAACATTCAGGCTGTCACCTGTGATTAGGGCTGTCAGCAGGCAGGCTGGTATCATCTGGCTTTCAGGCCCTTAGTAATATAATACACCTGCAATAGAATACAACCTATAATGCATCTGTAATGTACAGTGCAGACAAGCTTAAGTGCATCTACCACCTGTACACAGTGATGGCAGCAATTTTGGGTTATTAAAAACATTCAGTCCGTTGAGTCGCACCACTGAGACATGACCGACAAAATCATGCTAAGTATTTCAGTGATGCCTCTCACTTCCGTCTGATCACCAGCTCTCATAACAAAATGGCCACACCACAGTGTGCAGGTGACAAGTCCACTTCTGCCATATTTCCATGTCCCACCAGAAGTATAAAAATCTTATCATATAGATCTGTCTAAATAATGAACTGTACCGCCTTCGTGGCCTAACACAGTAATTAATGAGTTATCTTGAAGAGACACAATGAGAAAGACCTGCTTGGAAACCCGTAAAATGAAAAAACTTTTCTTTTTTTTGTTAGTTTTGTGTTTCATATATAGACCTAAATATACAGACCCTCCCACAAAAAGTTAAAATACAAGAAAATGTGGAGATTGAGCTTTGTTTTAACCCTGTGTTTTGACGCAGCTAGTGTGTCTCCTTAACCCTTCCCGCATGGCAAGGGTTTCATGTCTACAATCCAATGGCAGGAAAGGGGTACAGTGACATGATGACCCCAGGCCAAAATGCATACATATATATGAATATATTAATATATACATATATATATTTCTGCAGAATCTCTTTCTTCACTTGTGAGAAAAACAACTTGTGCACAAATTCAGGCAGAGTAAGTTCAAGCAAAGACTTCCATTTTGTGTTTTGTATGTACACTGACAAAGTCATGTGACTGCTTGTTTCTTTATAAATATACAGATAATCAGGTGGGGTATCTTATGGACAGAAAAGGGGAAAGGGGGGGTGTCTGTACTCACAACTCCTATATGTTTCAGTTTACTGGTGAGCCTAGGCACTCGGCCTTACGTTGCATAATGATTAGGGTCCAGAAGCTTGGAACATATAGAACCTGAGAGTGTTCTGAGACAGAGAGCGGATTCTGAAAAAAAAGAATGAAGTCATAGCAGAGTCCTTTAACCCCTTCAGAGCCCCAGTAGTATTTTCCAGCAGTGAAGAAGTTAATCTCACATAATTTTTTTGTCTTACCAAAAGAGAGAAAAAAAATCTATATATAGCTATATTTCAATATATATTTGAATAAACCAACATATCTGCAGGTCAGAGCTTTGAGGATGTATAAAGCACTGTAGGAGATAGGTTTGCCTCCTCCACTCCTGCCCGGTATTACTAGCTGAAGTAATACCATGCAGTTTTTATCAAATGTCGAATCATCTCTGATGGGGAAAAAGAGGGGATTAAAGGGAGGAATCTTTAACCACTGAACTGACAGAAATTCCCTGAAAGCCAAGAGGTTAAAGAAATCCAGGTTACCCCTCCCCACAATACACATTAACATTTGTATATAAAGTTCTCTATAACTGTGGTATTATCTAAAAAAGAGAGGAATTTTACAAGCGTCTGAGCTTTTCATCCCTCCATTTTTAGAGTACCCATCTCTAAGGCTATACAGGGGTGATGGCTGATGGTGCTTCTGCAGTACTCAAACCTTCACCCCTGTCCTATG